GCATAAGTTCACGAAGTCACGGAACCCGCAAGTTGATCACCAAAACATGCATCAAGTGAATCACGTGATATCCCATTGTCACCATAGATAAGCACATGCAAGACATACATCAAGTGTTCACAAATCCTTAAAGACTCAATCCGATAAGATAACTTCAAAGGGAAAACTCAATCCATTACAAGAGAGTAGAGGGGAAGAAACATCATAAGATCCAACTATAATAGCAAAGCTCGCGATACATCAAGATCGTATCACCTCAAGAACACGAGAGAGAGAGATCAAACACATAGCTACTGGTACATACCCTCAGCCTCGAGGGTGAACTACTCTGTCCTCGTCATGAAGAGCGCCGGGATGATGAAGATGGCCACCGGTGAGGGTTCCCCCCCCCCCTCCGGCAGGGTGCCGGAACAGGGTCCCAATTGGTTTTTGATGGCTACAGAGGCTTGCGGCGGTGAAACTCTCGATCTATTCTGCCCTCTGATGTTTTAGGGTATATGGACATATATAGGCGAAAGAAGTCGGCCAGGGGAGCCACGAGGGGTCCACGAGGGTGGGGGCATGCCCAGGGGGTAGGGCGCGCCTCCCTGCCTTGTGGCTTCCTCGAAGCTTCCCTGACGTCTACTGCAAGTCTCCTGGATTGCTTCCGTTCCAAAAATAACTCTCCCGAAGGTTTCATTCCGTTTGGACTCCGTTTGATATTCCTTTTCTTTGAAACACTGAAATAGGCAAGAAAATAGCAATTTGGACTGGGCCTCCGGTTAATAGGTTAGTCCCAAAAATAATATAAAAGTGTTTAGTAAAGCCCATAAACATCCAAAACAGATAATATAATAGCATGGATACTTCATATATTATAGATACGTTGGAGACGTATCACACTACTCTTCCTCGCTGCCGGCAGCGCCCGCGGTCGTGCCGGCTTCTTCGTGGTCGTGGCGCCGGGGCACGACCCCCTCGTCGTCGGTCTCGCCGAACAACGCCTCGTCGTCGCATTCCTTGTCGGCGGCCTCCACCTCCGTCATCTGCTGCCGGTACCGCCAACGGACGAGGCAGATCTCGTGGGCAGAGCGATAGGACTCGACCAGCGCGTCCTGCTTCGCAAGGTCCGCGTCCGGTGGCGACCTGCTCCTTCGCATGCAAATGCTCCTGGAGGAGGTTGTGGTTGGCATCAGCCTGCGCCTCCCGGAACTTCTCCTCCCGCTCCTTCCGCACCATGTCCATATAATGGACACGGGCCTTGCCGATGGTCATGGTGCAATGCACCGGCGAGGGTGGAGCGGAGGAGGGGGTGCCGCGGAGGAAGAGGAGGGTGGCGCTGGCTCGTCGGAGGAGGCGTCCTTCATTTGCACGTCCTCCGGCTGCCTGTCGGCCTATCAGTCGCCAGCAATGGCGGCCATGGCCTTCTTCTGCTCCGATGTCAGCCCGTTCCGGAGAGCTTTGTTGGCGGAGGGATCCATGGCGGGGAGTGGTGCGAAGAGGGATGACTGTGGCTATGGCCGAGGCACCGGGGCAGCGGTTTATATAGCATAGGTGGGCGGCAGAGGGACGAACAGGTGACACTGGAGGAGATGCCTCGGCAACCGCGTGCCATCAATGCAGGTGGCAGACGGACGGACAAGTGGTCCTCGTGTCGTTTGAACATGCGGCAATCGCCTGCACCGGGAAGGGATGCGGTCGGCGCGCCGCTTCAATGCCGGCGCCAGTGAGCGATCGTGTCCGCTCTGGCCGAGCATGAATGCGGGCGCTAACACTCTGAAGCGGCGCTGACCAAAACTGCACGGGGAGAAGGGGGAGGGGTTTTTGGTGGGCCATAGCGGTCAGAAGCGGGTTTGGGATTATTTCGAACTCCGCAAACCTCACCTACTTTTGTATCCGGTTTATGGGAAAAATCGCGTTCGGACCACTCCATGGATCGATACAGAACCGCGCAGTCTGAATGGTTACAGAAGGTTTGCAGGTCGGTATTGGAGATGCCCTAACGACCTTCGGCAGCTCTGTTGTTATGTTTCGATTGGACTTCAGACACTAATTTACGTGATGTGGCAAGATGGTCTACTGATGCACTCCTATTTTCTAATTGCTCTGCATGATGAATCTCCAAGGTGCCGCGAGGCGCACGTAACGTGCCGTTTTCCCCTGCGCGACATACCTACGGGGCTTTTTTTTAAAACTCACTAGGAACTTTATTTAAACTTCCCAACTAGGGATCTCGTCCGTTACAGTCTGCAAAATGCAGTCAGATGGTTCAGCCAACCACACATTACAAAGATTATTCGCCACACATTCCCTAGCTAACAAATGAGCTGCATTATTCGTCGATCGTCTAACCCATGTCACTCTCCACCTTTCCCTTAATGCCAACAATTGCTTCACCTCCTCGATAATCGGTCCCAGCAGCAACAGATCCTTCTCTTTCCTCTACAGCTTGCAAACGATCTCACGACAGTCCATCTCGACATGCAGGTTTTGTACGTTTACTTCCTCCGCGAGTTGGGCTGCTCGTTTGCAGGCGTAGAGTTCGACTCTTGCCGGTTCAGTGCACTGAGGGAACACCTGACAGGCTCCTCCCAGGAACGCATTGTCCTGATTCTGAAGAACCACTCCTACTCCTCCCAGCTCTCCGACCTTTGCTATGGCCCCATCCACATTGGCTTTCACCCATCCATCATCAGGCGTGCACCATTTCTCCCGAGTGACTGGATTGTCTCGCTTGCTCTTCCTCCCATGGATAGACTGCCACTCTTCCATCAAGGCGAACACCCTTCTCGCGATTGCATCCGCACCTTCAATTCGTTGCCCCTCTCTAGCATTGTTCCCTTCCAGCCAAATTGCATATACCCCTTGGACCATGATCGCCTTCGCATCATCCGTTGCTTCCGCAAACAATCACGGCGTCCCCATTCAGTTCCAAATGGCACGGCGCTACGTGGTTGTCTTGTAGGCCCAACCTGATTTTATTGTACCTGATATACGGGACGCATACCCAACCAATACGCCTCCTGCCCTGATCCCGAATGGAACGAGCGAACATAGATACCGGGAGCATGCGAGGACGAGCACTCTTATGAATTTTCGGGGAATATTTCTTCTGGAATTGTTTGCCCCCTATGGGCGATCCAGAAGAATCATTCTATTCTAGGAATCAATGTATCTATGATGATATTGTTCAAGTTAGATATAAGAGGCATTTTTATTACATTACATGTGTAGTAGTATAAACGAGATGACTTTTCTCGACGTCTTACCGTAGTTCTCATGCCCACGCAAAAAAGTTTTTTTTCTGGTTGTGGTAGTGTGACATGCTGATAGACACACCTTTGCCTGCAAGGGGAGACTTTAAACCATCTAACAGAAATAATGGAAAATATAGTGACCGATGATCTTTCCTCTTCAATGTAAATACTTAGTCTGACCTCAGAGAAATTGATCTTTATGGGTGCATAATTATACTTGGGAAAATTCCTCGGCAATCCCACTTTTGCCAAGATGGACCGGTATTGATGAGTGCCGATTACAAATTAAAATCATGGTATCAATGCTTCAGTGATCATTGTCGGACCCTTCGCTATCCTATGAGCACCTTTGACAGACCCGATCGTCGGTTCTTAAAATTGACAAAGTCACAACAATCGCCTCACTATCAAGTGCAACGTCGCCTCCCATTAAAGGGATATTTCACCGTAACAAAACACATGGATGTTAAACCTGGGATTTGATCCCTAGTGAACTCAGGGTACAAACACTCTCCTAACCATCCAACGACAAATTAATTCTTACTCTTCACAGACACACACAAAAAAAAAAGAAATTGGTTCTCAGTGTGTTTTTGCTTCTGTATGTCACGCCAAACCTGTTTGCACGAGTCTAATTCCTCCAACGCCTATTTGCTCCATATCTTTCCTTATTTGTTAAACGTTTTCACGAGCACATGTCTCTTGATAGACCTTCGAGAGTATTTTACCGTGGAAGAGTATAAGATAAAATGAACATCAATACATTCGGCCAATTAAGACAAGGAATCCAGCAAAGATGTACTCCCCGTTTTATAATGTAGTGCATATAGAATTTTTGAAGAGTCAAAACCTCACAGAGTTTATGAAAAAAACATTTACATCTAGAATGTTAAACACATATCATTAGATTCATCATAAAATGTAGTTTTATATTTTATATATTTAGTATTGTAGATATAAATAGTTTTCTCTATAAACTTGATCAAAGTTTTCAACGTTTGACTTTTCAAAAATCTATACGCACTATATTATTAAATGGAGGGAGTATCATTCATTTCCCGTGGACACCACCCTGGCGAGGAGACCGATGACCAGGGATGACGCAAGGTCAATGGCGTCAGGACCGGTGGTGCGATTATGTATGTGTGACGCCTTCGACATTGGCGCATACTCGGCCATGACTTTGACAAGGTTTGTTGGACGTCATGATGGCGTCTCTGGATTGTTATGGGTTTTTAGATGGTGGATGCTACGTTCGGCGCATGCTACTTAAGGTGTGCGCCCTTCGCCACCTTTATCGGGGCGGCTCAATCTTATTATTCTTCGCAGCTTGGCTTCTCTTCCTTCAATGGTGGTGATGCTCACGTTTTGGTGCTCCTTCATGAGCGTACCATGCTGGTGCTGACCTTGCTTCATAGACAGTGGTAAGAAATTCCTCAGCACGGCGAAGGTTTTCATGGACTTTCATTTGTTTTTTTTAAGGATTTCATTTGGTTTGTTGGAGCGTTTGCTGTTGCGTTTGTTCTCTTCACATGTGGCTCTGTCAATTCGGGGACTTTGTGCCATTTGTATCTGGTTTTCGCCCTATTTTTCCAAACAAAAAGGCATTTAGGACAAATTAGACTCCGAAAATAATATCGCAACAAGGCAAGGGCTCCGTCGCAAAAACGTCTCGTTATCCTCGACCTGGGAGCACAGCAAAACCCCCAAACCCCCGGCACCGTCGCCACCATTCGTCCCGTCCCAGCTCCGCCAGACGCCGAAATGGCGACCACCACCACCACCCTCTTCTCCCTCGCCCCGCTCCGCCTCACCCACCGCCGACTCCTTGCCCCCGCCCCCGGCACGGCCTCCCGCTTCCGGACGCTCGCCGCGAAGAAGGCGGCCGCCTCCACCGTCTCCGGGTCCGGCGGGGGCGCGGGGAGCGGGCTGCTCTCGGTGCTCGACCGGGCGCTCACCGACGAGGAGGAGTACCGCCGCGCGCGCGCCCAGGTGCAGCGCAAGGGCGTGGAGGCGGAGGGGTACGCCATCGAGGGGATCTCGGTGGGCGGGCACGAGACCTGCGTCACCGTGCCGTCCCTCAACGTCGCCTTCGACATCGGCCGCGGCCCGCTCTTCGCCGTGCGCCAGGACCACCTCTTCATCACCCACGCCCACCTCGACCACATCGTGAGCATTCGAGCCCTTTTCTGACTGGTCTCGTCGCTGTTCCGCTTGGTTAATTGGTTTGCTTGTTATGCGTCTCTAGCTAAGCTATGATGCGCCATTGCGAGATGGAGCTCTCAATTTTGCAATACAAATAGCTTTATATTATAGAAATAGACCGTGTTTTAGTACTTGTACCTTGCCTGCAAAACATGTTCTGTGTGATGCATTAAGTAACAATTTCTAGATGTTTCATGATTTGTTTTGCATTTACAGTTAACCTTTTCTCTGAAATCTTTGCTTAATGTAGTATATAAGACGTTTTAGATACTTATATTTATTTACAGAGGGAGTATATTAGTATTTGAGTCCATGGTAATCGATAATGGTAACTTATTAGTAACTGGTAAGTTAATTTGTTTAGCAAGATAGTCAGATACTGTTGTGAGGGATAATATCATCATCCTCAATAGGAGCCTTGGGGGTAAGTTGGCCTGAATTAGGCTGCTTAAAATGTTTTAAATAATCACCTTGCTCTATCAGTTGCACTTTTGAGGGTTAGCAATAGCTTCTTAATTATGCCATTTTATTTCTCTGCTGGAATGCAAATTAAGGTGAGATGCTCTGTTGTTTGCTATTTCAGTGTTCCCATATGCTCCAGTGCCGACTTACCGTTGCTGCTACAACGTGATAACATCATATATATCTCTTTCTCAAGAAAATTAGTGACGAATTCTTATATTTCAACATTTACATCCACTTCCACTAGAGAAAGAAAACTAATAGATCAGTTCTTATGGGTAAACTGGCAACTTTTCAGGGCGGTCTTCCAATGTATATAGCAACCCGCGGCCTCTACAATTTGAAGCCTCCAACCGTATTTGTACCTCCGTGCATAAGGGATGATGTTGAGGAGATGCTTCAGATCCATCGTAGAATGAGTAGAATTGACCTGGAAGTTGAATTGGTTGCTCTTGACTTGGGTATGGAGATCATTTCACCGTTTGCCCTTTTGTTTTTTCCTTGTTTACTTCTTAATGTGCAGAATTTCTTTTTCAGGAGAAACATATGAAATACGCAATGACCTTGTTGCCAGACCATTTCAGACTCACCATACTGTACCCAGCCAGGTACTGCTCCTTGACTCAGTAGTTTAATAGAGTTACTCACCATGCAGTTACTGAACATAAGTTAATGCTTATCGTCCCATCTTTTTCCTTGTGAATACCATGAAGGGCTACGTCATATACTCTGTGAGAAGAAAGTTGAAAAAACAATATGCCCATTTGAAGGGAAGTCAAATAGTAAAATTAAAGCAATCAGGCTCTGAGGTGAGTTTTTGTTGTACTCTCAATCAGAAATGTTTCTTATTTTGTAACTCACTCTATGTTTTATTAGATTACAGATACCATACTGTACCCAGAAGTTGCCTTTACCGGAGATACAACATCTGATTTTATTCTTGACCCACGGAATGCGGATGCCTTGAGAGCAAAGGTTCTTATAACCGAGGTATTGTTCAGAATTTTCTTTTCCTGAAAACTCCTTTGCAATGTCAAGTTCTTTCCCTTCACTCCACAGACGGCAAAAGTCGGCCAACGTGTTTGTCTCCGCTGTACTTACATTATTAGGTAACATAAAAAAGAAAAGAAAATGTGGAATGCTATGAAACCGAATACATTTAGGGATTTGATATTGTTACGGAGCATGGGATTGAGTTAAGAAGCAACTAGATGGACAGTGATTAATAGTATAATAGGATGGTGTTCTTTGCATCACATATCATCAGATGTTAGAAACTGGGCTTTGTAACATGGCACCGTTGCTTATATATGAGTACAAGTATCACATTTGTTTTGTTATATAGAAGTAATAATTTCTGCTAGTTTATTCATCAGCGAATATCCCAAAGGCTGTCTGAACTTCCTCCAGTTCTGCACATCTATCATTTGGTTGCCGACATCTTTTGAAATTTTGGCAGGCAACCTTCCTAGATGACCAAGTTGATGTTGATCATGCTCGAGAGCATGGCCACATGCATCTGTCTGAGGTAATAGTTCCCATACTGACACCCCCTAGCCATAGAGCTTTGGGACAATTCTGATGATGAGGAGATATTTGTATATATTATACTATCAGTCACTAACATAAACCCTTTTATGGTTCCTAGATAATGGAGCATTCCCAATGGTTTAGAAATGAGGCAATTATACTCACTCATTTCTCAAATCGATATAGTCTTGAGGTATGTAGCCAGTGAACTATCAAACTACTGTGAAAATGCTACATATCTGACCAAAACTATCATTTTATAGGATATTCGGAAAGCTGTTTCCAGGCTACAGCCAAAGTTAATTTCGAAGGTTGTTGCTCTGACAGAAGGCTTCAAATCTGAATATAGCTAAGTGTACAGAAGTAGAACACCTGGTGTTTCTCATCCTGATCCACTGAACGTATGTTCACATTAGGAACTGCCACTTTGTTGACGAATTTATCTTATAGATATGGCTGTTTTATGAGGTCATATGTGCGCGTCTCTTATCTTTTGCCCCTAGTCTTAGAAAATAAACCTTGTACAGCTTAATGAGTATTTTTATGGAAGAAGTGCTTTTGTACTTGCATATGTAGGATATTCTGTACAGTACATAACCTCTTTCTTAGATACACTTCAGTTCAGAATAGCAAGGTGGAAAAAAATACAATAGGTTGAAAAGGTGAAGGGCAAGAAACACAAAAGTACATATACTACTGCATGAAATTTATTAGGCCTTGAAGTGGCAAATATCTTTTCGTGATTATGAAGTGGCAAATATCATATTCCTGGGTAAACCATCTAGTCCATTGCTTCAGTACCATTTAAGTATCTGGTGTGAAGAAATATCCTGAACAATGAGCTTGTTCATTGTGAACCCCTTTTCTTCCAGCCTTCCTGTTTTGATTTTTGATGTTGCACCAGATAGCAGGCCTTTTAGTATCTGGTAATAGCACAATGAGGTCTCTTCGCACCAATGTCTTCTTCGCTTATACTCTCTGTTGATTCGTCATCGCTGGAGTAATAACCAGCAGGATCGTTGCGTGCGGGAATGATGAATATGTCGGAGTGATCAGGAGATCTGAAGCTGACTCTCCTGGCTACGCTGCGTTGGCTCCTCAGAGTAACCCTGTCGATGGAGAAGCTATCCTGGATATTGGGGGAGTTGTCCTCATAAGGGCAATCCAGGTTAAGCGGACGAACCTTCGGGGAATGCCTCCGAGGTGATGGTGCCCCAATCTCATCTCCCTCGAAGCTCTGCTGAGAGTACAGAATATCCTGAAGAGTATCGTGCCTTACTTCTGCCTTGACTATGCTGCTCTCATAGCGCTGCGGCTTCCCTCCAACGCATCTGGCGCTGCTCTCGCAGCGCTGCGGCTTCCCTCCAGCGCATCTGGCGCCGCTCTCACAACGCTGTGGCTTCCCTCCAAGGCATCTGGGCTTGAGTCTGCTGATGATTGCTTTGACATAGCAAGAACCGCATCCCTGTGACCGTGAGCCCATTTCCTCCCTCACTCTCTTAGGTGGTGAAAGGAAGTAGCATATGGCTTAAGCAGTTCATGCTAGTCCCCCCTAGCAAATGTGTTTATAGATACGGCATGTGCTTGTGCTTGGTATTTGTTGGTCTTGGCTTTGTCAGACCTTGGTCGTGCCAAAGTAGGACAAACCAGGGAGGTTGGAGCAAAGAACACCAAGAAGGGGACATAGAGAACTTAGTTCAGATTAGCATCGGCTATGGTAATTATATTTTACAATTAACCTTATAGTTCGCCTTGGTGCGATTATTGTTGTCATCGCATCCAGTGAGGGATGTAAATCACAATAATCCTGGTCACATTTGGAGTTCAATATAGACATCCGCGGAGTATACGAAGACCTATTTTGGAATCCTGGCTAGAGAATTGTGGATGGTGGGGTGTGGCTAGGCAATCTTGTCATTACCTGTGTTCTTGTGACTGAGCTGGAACTCCCAGGTGAACACATAGGATATCCAGTGCTGCCACTTGTACAGGGTGTATACAAAAACAGAGTCCAAAGTATAGGTTTCTTCACTGTCCTAACGCCGTTGTTATCTAGTCTCCCTGGTATTTTTCCTTTAGATGTTTCAAAATTGTTGGATAGTGAAATGCTTGGAAGGTGGAAAGCCTCCCGAATCCGTGGTTAATTAAACCAGTCTTCTTCATAGTACCAACTCTGACATCATCGTTGTTTCATCCCTTTCTGTTCTTGCCTTCTTGGCATTGCATGCATAAATAAAAAGAATCCAGACGATGGTACTGCAACTTGGCAGGTAACTTAATCTGATATGCCCTGATGACAATTAATTTCCTTGGCATGTACTATGATATAATTTCCATGTACATACATATGTACCATTTGTTTTATGTTCAGTATCATAGTATTTGCTAATTTCATAAATATAAGATGTTTTGGATATTTCAATATGGACCACATATGGACTGAAACGAGTGAACAAACACAATAGAATATGTCTCTATACATCCGATTCAGATAAAAGTTAGAACATCTTATACTTGTGAAAGGAGGGGGTACCGTTTTGTACAACATAATGCTAGGGTGCTGGAGATGATTTTGTGATTCCCAAGTATGAGGTCTATGAGCAACTGTCTAAACGCTGTTTGATGACCCAGGTGACCATGAGCTCATTTGTTTTCATTTATACACGAATTTGTATGAAAATTGTCATGAATCATCTATTTGGTAAAAAACAGCAAAGTTCAATATCAGTCTTCATGCTTCACAACGACATTGACTGGGGGACTAGCAGCAAGATCATGGTGAAAGGTTGATGAAACTAAAATTCCGGTTCTATGATGTATTGCTTGCTGTTGCCATTGCTCATTTGAGGGATGTGGTTGGTTTCAAGATACTAAGGGGTTTTCTGTAAATTGGAGCAGAGAAGTGAGGCCTTGTTGTAAAAATGTCACAGCTTACCTCACAGTCGTTAGATATAGATTTGATAGTCAGAAATGACGAATGACAAACATACCATCATCACCAACCGAGTCTTTTATAACTTTAACCCAAAATGGTGTAACGAATATCTTAAAGAAACAGTAGTGTTATTCAGTTGAACACCCCTTGCACTGCATCCGTAGCAAGTTGCACAGTGCAATAAGACTTGAAGATTCTATGACAACGTGAAGATCGTTGATTTCTTGTGACCATCTCTGCAAGTAATTGTTAGTCAAAGTCTTGTCTCAACCAACAAAATACGCCCTGTGTTTTGAAATGATTGAAATAGTTTCTTTTCTACACTTTATCGTGCTTATATATTGTTGTGGGAGAAGGCTGTCTCAGGTGATTAATTGTTCAGGTAGTCGTTGGCGGTCGCCAAACTGTCAAGAATGATGTAATCAATGACCAATCTAGTCTTCTTTTAATGATCTTGGCTAGAAATCCATCTAATCGCCTTTTTTTTCGTTTAATAGAAATGAATATCTCATTTAGTTACCAAACTATATTACACTCATTGTTCCAAAATACCTATCATTTTATTAACCGTGTCAATTCTTTATGTTTGACTATGCATCATAAGAAATATCATAAAAATACAACTTATTGTAACTATGCAAAGTATATAATAATTCAACTAAGTGAAAAGTTCTGAACTACATCTAAATATCAACAACTAATTACTCATAATTAAGCCATGGTTGGCTCCTTGGTCCCCACCTGAGCAATGCTACGTTAAGCTAAAGGTCAATGCTTCTTTTTTCGTAACGAGGAAGCATGTGCGATAGGGGCCATCATTCGTGATTTGAAAGGAAGATTCACATTTGTAAAAAAAAATCACCATGTGTCATAGTGGTGATTGGGTTAGGATGCAATGCAGTCTAAGCTAAATCAGACTCGTAGGAAGTGATAGAAGCATGTACATGCCAAGAGGTGCGGTCAAATGATGTTGCCAAGATCTTTGCGGTATGTTGCGTGGATTTGAAGCCAGAGATTAGGAAAATTGATCCGCAACATTCTCCAAGAGAAGTATCCGAGGAGGGGAATCACCACCCTTTGGAGACCGTAGCGATGCTCGTCTGCCTCCCTCCCTCCACCTACCACCATCGTCGCATCCGCCATATTGTTGAATCCCCTCACCCCATCGCACCAACTCCCGCACCTACGGGAGTCCTTTCCTCTCTCAGTCCTCTACTCCTGGAGTAGGGGAGATCCTCCTCGTCCACACATGTGATTGATCATGACAGGTGTCGAGATCATAATACATCCTAAACGTCTCTACAATTTTTTTTATGTTTCATTACTATATACATGCCATATAGGCATAGTTTCATGATTTTATCGACTAGCATATTAATTAAGTGTCAACCAATGTTTTTAGTGTTCGTGGTTTAACAGAAAAGTTTATTTCACGGAGATCCAAATTTCTTGGAAAATTGAAAACTAAGTGTTCGTCAAAGAATGAAGAGATGGGCCAAAGATCAAGCAGAGTGGCCACCCAGGGCTCACGACGTGTGGGCGGCGTAGGAGGCTCCTCCATTACCTCTTGGACTCCTGAATCATTAATACCTCAGAAACCTTCGTTGTTTTCTTTGACAGCTTTTTGCCGCCACAGGCGGTTCCGTGGTGAACAAATCTAGCCCTTTTTTGGCACTCTACCGGAGAAGGTTAGATCCAATGTCGGAGGGGATTATAGTCCTTCAGAGCCATGCCCACCAAGAATCGGAGGGGGGGGGGACCCTTCTCCCATCTAGGGGAACGTCAAGGAAGAAGATGAAGGGAGGGGGCTCTCCCTCTCTTTCGGTGGCATCAGAATGCTTCGAAAATAAAAGATAGAAATTTGTCATTCTTGTTTTTTTGTGAGAAGAAATTTGTCATTCATTTGTGAAACATAACGATATCAGTATATGGGGCAACTAATTGTGGGTTACACCTTGGCTGTGACATCCAACGGACATTTTTCAGGGAGAAAAGTCTAAAATAAACCTTTAACTCGTACGTCAAGTCTGAAATCGAACCTTGAACTCATAAACCCGGAAATCAACACCCTGACCTTATCGATCCCGGTTAATTCCAACCGTATATTTGTTTGGGGTACCGGAAAGTAATTTTTTTTTGGAAAAGGAGGTTAAGACCCCAGCCTCTGCATCAATCGATGCATACGGCCATTTTTATTTATTATTCAACAAAGGTCTAACAAGAATATACATGAAGTCATCCGAAGCTACCATTCACACCTACAAAACTCGGTCATGTGGAGTGCTCTCACTCCCCATATCTAAATCGGGTGTCGTCGCCGATCCATCCACATAACGTATCAGAACCAACAGCCGGTGCAGCAGACCTAAAATATACACCACATGCATAAGTTCTAGACGCTGCCATCTTCATCAGACC